GGAGAAATCAAAGCTCAAGCGCTGGCTGACTTCGTAATGGAACTAACCTCACTCATTTTAAGTCCATTTCTCCCGGTCAAAACATCACTTAATAACTTGAAACTATAAGCCAAACCCTCTCACCCACTAAGAGCATATATAAATTCCAAATCAAAGTTACAAGTTACTACATTTTGTGATATCTTTCCATGAAGATTACGACAATTGCTTACATCTTGTCCCTTCACCATATTTTCAGAAAATGAGTACCATCAATAGCTCTAATATACAATCCTAAAAATATTCACATATGTATTATAATAATGATAAATATAATTTCAATTTTTTTATAAATTAGTAATTATCGCATACCTTGAAGTAAGGATAAAATTTTGTGCTTCCACTTATTTTAGTAGGCATAATTGTTCTCGTTTTAGCCATCAAATCAGATTTTGATGGCCAAATGTATTACAAATTACAAAATATATACTATTTTGACTGATGATTTGTAGGAAAGATGCAAGAATTTCTTCAACACAAATAAATCTTGTATCCTCCAAAAGTGTTTTTTCTCTAAGAATTGCACATAAATTTTGAAATGCAATAGGATACATTCTATATACTTGTCAAGCTATGAAAAGATCATCATTTAATGCTTTATGTATGTAGTCATATCCAATATTAGTAATTTGTTGTCGAGTTAATGGATGTTCAATATGTTCACCATGCATCATAATCAAAAAATTGATTTAGCACATGCATCAAGTCACAACAAACATTAAGTATAAAGTAAAAACGTTTAACTAAACAAAGACGACATTGTATTCAACGAGAACCAAGAGAATTACGGGAGTAAAACAGCTACGCCAATCTTCAATAGTAGAGACTTAGATACTCATGACTAAGGATTACACACAAAAAATGGGATCTTCGAGTCATTTGTGATTACAAAATTACTCTCACTTAGAAATCTCTCTAATCCCTCAAAATTTGTAATTATAAAAGCTAAGATGCCAAGACTTCCTAAAAGTCCTAATTTATAATATTTTAAATGGGCTTCTATTTGTGCATGCTCGCTTAGAGTGTCCATATGGTTCACTAAAGTAGGTTTGTTTGATCCTTTTAGAGGTAGTCTCCGACTTCCCTCATTTAGAGCACTTATTGTTCCAAGAGAATTCTAGCTCACCTAGAGCGAGTGGCTCATTCGCTTAAGTGAGCTTGCATCATCCTTTAATGCTGTAACAACCCATTTTTCGTGGGCCAAAGGCCAAATTCGTGGCCCAGAATGGCCCGTTTCAATTTTGAAACGGGCCGTTCTGGAATAGTGTGTATGGCCAAAATTGTAGAAGCAGAACGGGCCGTTCTGACGGGAGAACGGGCCGTTCTGGTTTGGAGAACGGGCCGTTCTGGAAACAGAACAGGCCGTTCTGCTGGGTTTGAGAACGGGCCGTTCTGGTTTGGGAACGGGCCGTTCCAGTTGAAAAATTTACGTAGGTTTGAAGGGCCCAGAACGGGCCGTTCCGACTTTGGAACGGGCTGTAGTGGTAGGTGGGCGAAAAATCCTATAAATAGGCCTCAAATCCTCTCATTTCTACACACCTCTCATTCTCACTCTCTCTTCTCTTCTGTTCTCTCTTTCGTTCCTCTTCTTCTCTCTAAAGACCAAGAGGAACTCAGAGGATGAGGTTCTGCTCCAGTTTTAGTTCCGATCCTTGTTTAAGGAAAAAGAGGAGGAGGTTCTGCCCGAGTTCCTATTTATCCAGGTACGGGGGAAAAGGAGATTATTTATATGTAGAGTTACATGAGGGAATTGGGTAGAGGAAGAGCCCTTAGGGTTATGAATAATTTTATAATTATTTCTGTTTGGAGGATTAATTATCTTATGTGATTCTATATATATTTAGGATTACGAATATATGTTTAACTTGTAAAAATGATGCTCTGGGAGAGAGAACGAAATTATAGAAAAGTGCCTGTAAGTTAGGTTGTGAAAAATTGGATGATTTCTGTTTGAGAAATTGAGGATCCCATTAGATTCTGTATGTGTTGAGGATTATAGATATGCTAATAATTTGTAAGAATGATGATCTGAGAGGGAGAACGAAATTGTAGAAAAGTGCCTGTGAGTTAGGTTTTGGAACAATTGGGGATTTTACTGTTTACGTTAAAATTATATTAAATTGATAATTCTGTTGTTTGTTATATTAGTTTATGAATGTTATTGTTATATTATTTGATGATCTAGATGATGAATTACTTGAGGGGTATGTGAATCACCATTTTGTGTGGATTGTGTGTGTATTGTGGAATTGAGATGTGGATGTGGATGTGGATGTGGATGTGGATGTGGATGTGGATGTGGATGTGGATGTGGATGTGGATGTGGATGTGAATGTGGATGTGGATGTGAATGAGATGTGATTGTGGTTCTTCACACCTATGACCAGGGGTGAGCACGGCCCGAGATTGTTACATGAGTATCGTGACCTTGGTTAACATGTCAGGGGTGAGCACGGCCCTAGGTTAGGGATAACGTGACCTTGGCACAGTGTTATATCAGGGGTGAGCACGGCTCTGGATTGTTACATGAGTATCGTGACCTTGGTTAACATGTCAGGGGTGAGCACGGCCCTGGAATAGGGATAACGTGACCTTGGCACAGTGTTATATCAGGGGTGAGCACGGCTCTGGATTGTTACGTGGGTATCGTGACCTTGGTTAACATGTCAAGGGTGAGCACGGCCCTGGGATAGGGATAACGTGACCTTGGCACAGTGTTATATCAGGGGTGAGCACGGCTCTGGATTGTTACGTGGGTATCGTGACCTTGGTTAACATGTCAAGGGTGAGCACGGCCCTGGGATAGGGATAACGTGACCTTGGCACAGTGTTATATCAGGGGTGAGCACGGCTCTGGATTGTTACGTGGGTATCGTGACCTTGGTTAACATGTCAAGGGTGAGCACGGCCCTGGGATAGGGATAACGTGACCTTGGCACAGTGTTATATCAGGGGTGAGCACGGCCCTAGATTGTTAAATGGGTAGCGTGACCTTGGCATAGTGTGAAGTGCAAGATTTGTGATGATTGGTGTGATTGAGAATTATGACGTGATGACGATGCATGATTGATTGAAATACGATATGTTGAAATATTTATGAATATTAAGTTATAATGAGATAATATGTTGTGTTTTCTTATGTGCTATATATATAGATGTTTTCTTTTCTCACCGTGCGATTTGTGGATATTTTAGGTGAGGAAGATCCGGCTACGAGTGACATCTAGAATGCTAACGGTTGAGTTGTGGTTATGCTCTGATATTGTGACATCGGGGCAGAGGATTTTCTTTAGGACATAGATTGTTATATGGAATTAGAATTGTAAATATTATTTTTGAAAATCATTTGTAAACTCTCACGTTTCATTTTTATTGTGGTGGTTATTGAAGAATAATTTTGAAGATTCTCATGTGAACCCTTTTACCGAAACTAAAAATTGTTTTTGTTAAGTTTTCATTATTACAATATATGTGTTGGGGTAGTAAGGATGTCACAAGGGCCGCTCAATTTCTTGTTGTAATTGCTCTAAGCAAATTCTAGCTCGCTTATAGGAAAAAATCTCATTTATTTCACTTTCGCAATCGGTATTTGGACGATTGATTCGTTGGTTTCGAAGTTGGAAAACTTAGGAAAAATTTCATTCATTTATCATCTCCGCAGTCGAAATTCGCCGACTGATCCGTTGATTTTGAAGTTAGAAAAAATCTCATTCATGTATCACTTTCGCAATCGGTATTTGGACGATTGATTCGTTGGTTTCGAAGTTGGAAAACTTAGGAAAAATTTCATTCATTTATCATCTCCGCAGTCGAAATTCGCCGACTGATCCGTTGATTTTGAAGTTAGAAAAAATCTCATTCATGTATCACTTTCGCAGTCGGTATTTGGCATTTTAACTCGGTATTTGGACGAGTAGTTGATTTGATATTCAATTTTTAACTTGGAGAAAATTCCTGTATTGTTCTACTCGGCGTTTGAAAGAGAAGTTTATTTAATATTCATTTTAACTCGGTTTTTGGACGAGTAGTTGATTTGATATTCAATTTTTAACTTGGAGAAAATTCCTGTATTGTTCTACTCGGCGTTTGAAAGAGAAGTTTATTTAATATTCATTTTAACTCGGTTTTTGGACGAGTAGTTGAGTTGATATTAAACTTTTAGCTTGGGGAAGTTCGTGGAATTTTTCTAGTCGTTGGAATTTCTCTAGTCGGCGCTTAGACGATTAGGTTAAGCAAGATTCTTTTTAACTTAGAAAAATTGGTGGAATTTCATCATTACTCAGCAAGTCACTCAATTGATATCAAAGACAACACATACCATAAAAAAACTAAGAGTCACAGTAGTCCATACAAACGATCAACAAAATACATAGAAATATAAAGGAAAAAGCAACATTATAAGGCAACACTCAGTCATCCTCGGGGGGATCAACCAGCTCACCATTCACAATCTCCTTAAAGTAACCCATTCCACCAATATCGAGATCAACATACAGGAATCTTATCTGGGAAGTAGCTGCGTCAAAGCCTTGAACAAATTTTGTCAAGGAGTCCACCTTCGCGGCCTGCAGGTCATGATGAAGTTTTTCCACCTCAAGCTTCATCAGGGACAAGTCGTTCTCAAAAACACTAGCAGCGTCAGTTGACTTGTCCCGAGCCATCCGCATCTCGGCCAACTCGCCCTCCATCGCAACCTTCTCGGCAGCCCAAGCTTGTTTCTCTTCTTCGAAGGCGCGACGGCCCTCCAATAATTTGTCCCGCTCGTTGGCCACCCACTGGAAGTCAGCTCGACTCTTAGTCAGACCATCCTCCAAAGAAGCGATTTTCTTTCCTTGCAACTTAGTCTCCTTCACCAAGCCGCGAATTTTATCTTCATTCACCAATGAGAGAGCCGAAAGACGATTGGTGAGGGACTCGACGCCTTTGGCGATAGTGAAAGCACTCATTTTCTCCAGATCGTCTCAGTCACCTTCAAGCAAGTCGGTCCCACGAATGTGAGCACTGTGGTTGAACTTTTCATCCCAGAAGGAAGCCACACCATGGTTGTCTTCATAATTCACCGGTTCCCAATTCTCGCCGAGACAATCGCTCAGGGTCCTCTCGGCAGATTGAACCTCGGCGTCACCCTTGCCCGCCTCAGCGGCCACGATCGTCTCCAGGTTAACCACCGATATGGGCCTCTCAGCCTCGCGACGACACTTTTGAGGAGTCTCACCAATGGTCCTCGACTTGACCACCGGATTGTTGGCCTCCACGACCTTCTCGGAAGCCGACTCGCCGAACGCAATTAAGTAAGGGGGAAAAGAGTGTGGAATTGTTACACTGAAAAGGGTAGCCCCACTAATGAGAAGAAGCAAGAGAAGGCCATAGAAAAGTGAGATGAAAAAGAAGATGACATGGGAAACGACGGTGGTGGCGAGGAGGGGTAAGAAGGAGGTGGAGATGGAGTTGATAGCAGAAAGAAGGTTGACGGGTTGGTCGTAGAAGAAGTGGAAAACGCTGTTGGTGATGCTGATGACTCCAGAGTAGGAAAGGATGGAAAGGAAAAGGGAATAGAGGAGGTGAAAGAAGGGTTGGTGGTTTGTTGTTGAAGATGGTTTGGTGAAGGAATGGTTGAAGTTGAGAGGGAGGAGGAAGAGGAAGAGGAAGGAGAGGGGGAAGAGGAAGATGAGGGTGAGAGTGTGGAAGTGGCGAGAGTGTGCTTTGAATATTTTACCAGATTCAGAAAAGAGGTCCCTGAGCTTGAGGTTCTTGGAGGCCATGTGGAGGATAGAATATTTCAATGAGTTTTGTTAAGTTTTTTATGATCCTTTTATAAAGAAAAGCTTCGTGTATTGACTTGGCTTACAAACGCGTGGTTTTCCTTTAAGAATGAGAGACTTGTAGGTCCCAAGAAGATCAGAAAAGACGAGAAAAACGACGACTATTTCAGCGGAAATTAAGAAATACACAGGAAATTTCTTTAAAATGTAGAGTTAATACCGACTAGTGATTATGGTTTTTTTTTTCCCTTTTTTTCTTTACACCAACATAGTCATATTCTTTCCACTAAAATATTATTCTGAATCCAATAAGAAATTTTAAAATGAACATTCTCATACAGTCAAACAAAATAAAATTTTAGCATAAAAACAACTATTCAATTACTTTTTTTTTAATCATATTGAATAACAATAAAAGAAAAAAAATCTTATAATTTATCTAATTTGATTAGGAATCATGTCATACTCTTTATCTTTCTCATTATCATAAATCTAATCCACTATCGATTTACGATCTGACTCAATAGTCATATTATAAATTATGGCAGAGTTTTGAAAATGGAACGATGAATTATGACAAATCTGCATTATTGAAAATTTAAGATCGGACCTCTTCACCGTTGAAGTTTCAATTGCGGAAAATAACAAGACAGCCGTTATGGAATATGATATTTTGTTTTCCTAATTTCAAAATTATACGTTTATTTCATAAATAATTTTAGATTTAAATATATTGTAATTCTATGCAAATATTGTTCTATTTTGTTTTAGTTCTTGCAATTTTTTTTATTATCAATTTTAGATGGTGATCTAGGGCTAGACAAGAGAAACTTGAAAAAATGAGGAACAATTAAATTATAGGAAGAAAAGCGGTGAAAAAGAAAACCCAAAAATAATGCAAAAATGAAAATGGTGTTCATGATGGATGTCGTCGGTGGATATCATTTGAGGTGATGGACGATGATGATATTAACATTGGCTTCAAATTAAAATTAAGAGAAAAGCTTGTCTGAAATGTTTGCAACATTGAAGACGTTGCTAAATGGAGTTTTAGAGATGGTTTAAAAGAGTTTTGCATATAATTTATAAATTGAATTGATATATAATATCTCATTTGCATCGGTTAAACTTATAACCAATGTAAAAGAGAAAATTATACATTGGTTCCTTTATAATTGATGTAGAAAAATTGTCAATTTTTTATTATTATTAAATATTTAATAATTAATATAAAATCTTGATGTAAAATATTATTTTTGTGCTAAAATAATTTTTTTTTTAAAAATTTGGAATTTAGTGAATTAATAATAATAATAAAAAAAAGATAGATTAAAATAGATAGAGTTTAAAAAAAAAAACTCTCGTTATGTGACATCCATTCTACCCCCATAATATATATTGTAATAATATAAAGGAATAAAGAAGTAAATTTTTAATAAAGATAAAATGGTTCACATAAATCCTTTAAAAACATACTTCAATAACCAAATGATTTAAAAATCGGATTTAAAATAATAAAAAAATTTCAATAAATGATCCAAAAGAGATCAATATAATTCCAAATACAAATAAACTTCATTTCTAGAAAATCCTTGTCTCGATGTCACACTATTCGAGTACGCTCACGACTCAACTATTGACATCTTGGATACCACTCGTATTCGAATCTTCCTCACCTAAAAACAACAACAAGATGTACAATGAGGAAAAAAACATTTATATACAAAGCACACCAGGAAATTCTACAATATAGTTTAATACTACACAATATAAAATCACAAGTTCCAACATTCAGACATGTGCAATTTTACCTATATCCAAACAATAATTTCCATCATCAAATCTCAAATCATATACGTACACACATCATCCATATCCATCATATCACACAACCAACACCATGTCATGCTCACGCCACCACTGTTGTATCACACGTCTAGCATTGTGCCACGTCAACATATGTGCTAATTGCCACATATATCTTGCACTATGTCATGCTCACATCATCGTTGTAGCTAGCATTACATGTCCAACGTCGTGTCATGTTGACATATGTGCTAATTGTCATATATATCCTACACTACCATCGCTGTAGCATTTCATGTCCAACGTCGTGTCACGCCAACATATGCGCTAATTACCACACATATCCTACATTATGTCATGCTCACACCACTGTTTTCGCATCAAGATCGGAAGCCTTTCCGCCTAATGGGCTCAAGGCTGGTAGGCAAGTGTACCGTCCCGGCTAACTGCCGAGACGTTCTCTCGGTCTAGTTTCGGAACGACCCAAGCGCGCCGTCCAGGTAAAGGCCTGACGTGATCTCTTTTGGACTGGAAGCCTCTCGGCCCACAACCGAGCTAGCCTCTCTATGCGAGCCAACTCACTCCTGGCCCGACTCTACTCACCTATAAAGGGGCCAATCGGTTATGGCCCGATTGGATCTTAGGAAACAAGCCGACGCGGTCCTAACACATGTCTACTCGCCCCCAAGGGGGTCCTCGGGGCTTGCCCGAGAGGACCCTAGGAGCAGGACTAGTCGGCCATAACCCGACTAGACTAACTCCCAATCACCGAGTGGACGCATGGCAAGAACGGTTAAGGAAATCCCTCGATCCTCGGGGCCCAAGAGGTCCATGAACAACGTACTATAAAACCCAAAACCCTAGAGCTAAGGAGGCAGATTACACTTTTGAATGCACTGGCTTTGAGGCTTGACCTAGGAAAAAACCCTAGTCCACCTTTTGGCCGGAACACTTATAAAAATGAATGAGTTTTAATTTGAGTAATAACATTCATTTTATACATAAAAAAATGTTTAGAAGTGTCATATAATTACACGATACTACAAGCACCACCGGGTGTTACTCGATAGTTGCGATGATCACTTTACTTTCCATTAAATATATAAATAATTAATGAATGCCGCATAATAATAAAGTAACAAAACAATGTTTTCATATTCTTAAAAAATGAAAACTAATTTATTTGAACCACTAGGGTTGGCAAGTTTGGATCCTCTCATATGACATTTTTGTCCATTGAAATCTCAACCCTTAAATAAAAATAAAAGAGAGATGATTCGAGTAATAAATTAAAGAAGGTATGATGTGTTGTATATATGAAGTATTTCTAAAGAATGAAGTCTCACATTCTTCTAACAGTAAAGTATAAGTGCTTAAATATTATAGTGTATCTTACTCTTTCCAAAAAGGCAAGCAATAGGTGGTGGAATTGCGCATATGATAATAATAGGCCTCATGGGCCTATTGTAATGTAAATCCTTTGATTTTCCTTGTGCATGCAGTTAAGGGATCCAAAAACATTTTTTATTTTTTATTACATTAAATTACTTTTTATTTAAAATAAGGTTATACGATTCATGGTTGTTTTTTGGGTTATGGTTTACTGTTGTTGACTTGGTCATTAAACCTTATCTATTTTACTTTTACTTATTGTTATTTATTTGTTGTTGACCAAGTATTCATAAGATAAAATATTTTATTCTAAATAGTCATATTTTGATAAGAATTTTAAGATTTTTCTCCTTATTTTTTGCAAGGGTTTTGGGTGGCACTTGAGTTCTCTCACCTTATATACAGGCTTCCTCCTCATTGGTTTGACACACCACTCACTCTTGAGTTCTCTCTTCCCTCTTTGGGTTCTTTTACAACATAATTTCTTGCTAGTTTCGCTCCTTAGTGCTTAACTAAGACATCCCTATTGTATTTTAGGGGCTTGTGAGGATAAGTCCTTAAGATCAATATCATTACACGCCTTAGAAATTTTTCTAACGTTATGTTTAGTGTTTCAAGTAGTCCTACTCGTCACGTCGATCATTGATTTTTAACAACAATCTTAAGGACTTACACTACAAAAAATGCTAATTTCTGACGGAAAATGGTAAATTTCCGATGGATTTTGTTTTTTTCGACGGATTTAAATCTGTCGGAAAAAGTAGCGTCGAAAAAAAAAATCTGTCAGAAATTTTGACGGAATTTTCTGTCAGAAATTATATATTTTTTTATTTATAAATTTATTAATGTAACAGTCCTCATATTTGGCCTCTCAAGGGTTCTACTTCACGACATTTCACTTTTAAGCGTGTTTTATCCTTACTTGCACAATTTCTGGGAAACTTCCCAGAAGGTCACCCATTCCAATACTACTCTAGGTCAAGAGTAAACTACCGAAATGTATATGTATGTTGTCAGTATAACTTGTACAAATTAATTCATTTAAGTCATCCTCAAATATACAATCTCATACTTGTACTATAATAATAATATATAATAATTTTATATTACGAATAATAATAATAATAATAATAATAATAATATATTTAATTATTCTTTATTTATATGTACTTACTTTTATAATTAACATCTACTTATTTCTATTTAAAATTATAATTTAAATTATTTAATTTTATAATTTATAATGATAATATAATTTATAAAATTATAAATATTTATTTATTACATACTTATAAATTAAATTTTAATATTTTAAATAAATTATTAATTAATTTAATATATTTATTTACCTTAAATCAAACATATAAAATTAAAAAAAATGTATTTATCCTTGTTTTATTTTCTAATTATCAACTATTAATAAAATACTAACTTAAAATCTTATCTAATTATATATAATATTCTCATATCAAATTTAAAACCAGATATTAGTTATACAAAAATATTAAGATCATATAGTAAATTGTCAATAAGATTTTAGTTAAATAATTTAAAATAATTAATGTTTCAATTATATTGTTAATTGGCAAATAATTTATTCCAAAGCTAATAAATTTTTTTTTATATTAATTATTAGTAAAATTTAATAACTTTTAATTTAACAATTAATTATATCAATGAAATTCAACACACACCATGAGTTATTGAGCGGAATAACTTTACCAAGAGTTATTTTGTAAGTTATCTTAAATCAAACATATAAAATTTAAAAAATGTATTTATCCTTGTTTTATTTTCTAATTATCAACCATTAATAAAATACTAACTTAA